CCTTATCATATGTAACTCGCCGCTTCTCTTGTCCTCTTTTTCAGTCTTAATCTCCATCTCCTTACTCCTAAGCAAGTCTATGACAATCTCAGGTGTTAAGGTGTCCCTACCGTACTTAATTGCATTCTTAACTTCCCTATATGAATCAGGCATGTAATTAAGTAGGATAATAGCCTTATACGTTTCAGATATCTCTTCATCACAATTAAAATGTCTTGAACTAACCTGTTAAAGACATCCAGATTATCATCAAGATCCTTTGAAGGATCCATTTTAAAGCTGAAAAATCGTTCAAGCAAGTACAATTTATTAGGAGTTGACTTAAGCAAAAATAAGCTCTCCAACTTTTTTCAAAGTTGTTTTGTAGAATCCAGTTTTCCTACTTTTCTCAAAACAGTATCAGACAGGCGTAAAATAATTGAAGTGTATGCAAGTTCATCATACTCGTCTTTTTGTACTTCTGTTAAATTTGCAAGAAATTTGCCATCTATGGCTTTTGAAAATTTTTGTTGGACCAAAATACCCTTCATCTTTTGTTGCCAAATTGAAAAATCCCCTTTCCCATTAAAAATTCCAATTTCAAAGTGTGAAGACATTTTTAAGGAGAAAATAAAAAGAGAACAACCAAGTCACAAATAGGTCACACAAAGTAATCCTAAGGTCGCAATATACACCGTTCTAGATTCCCGTGTTTTTGTAAGATTCACGATCTTAGATCAAAGGAATGTTCGAACGGGTCAAGTCCAGGTGTTCTAATTGGATAATTAATGCAAACACGAAGGTATATAAACAAAAATTTCAAATTTTCACGCAACAAGTCTCACACAGTGACTATATGACAGATAAGCACAAAATCAACTATCAACTTGCAATCAAAGTTTAACACTTCAAAATAGAGCAAATAATTCCTAAATTTTCTAGCACAAGCAATGGTTGCCAAGCAATGACAACCCCCAATCCTAACGATCATCCCACACGATGATCTGCTAATGTTGAAATTTAAACTGGGTTAAGCCAATATACCAGAGCGGACCTATCTGAGTCCGTAAATTACAAGAGTTGCGAATTTATCACTTTAGGACCACCACTATTCGTCCTAAAGTCTGTGAAAACTGTAGCAACCAAAAAATCACGATCGAGTCCCGAATGCCCGAAGAACAACGTCGTCCAGATTTTACTGCGTAACCTGAAACCGAAAACTTTCAACACAAAAAATATCATAAATAATATGAGGAAGAAATTGCCTGAAGGGATCGTCGCCAAAAAATGCTCCACGCACCCGCACGCACCGATTCTTCCCTCTGCGCTTGGGCCTTACTCGCCACCACACGCGCCGCCTTTGACTGACACGTGCTACCCTGTAGGGTTTGCCTCCTCCTGTATGTCACGTCAATGGTCTCCGTTTCCCCAAACTTCTTCGGGATTGATTAGAAATCGCGAAAAATGGAGACTGATTTTGACAGTTTTTGGACAGCTTCTTCGATCTGATTTCTGCTGCGATTTCTGGATGTTTTTGGTATGTTTCATGAGCCAAAACCACACCTTGAAGCTCTGATACCAATTGTTGCAGAAGCTCTCGTGAAAGATTTTCAAATTGATGATTTTTGGGCTCAGTCCAATGTACCTTTTCATAACCAACAACCAGTCTAATCGGCTCCAAACCACAACCAATTGATTCACCTCGGTTGCTATATAATCTTAACCACGTAGGACAAGAAAAGGATGATGATTTGTGGCCACAAAAGCTAGGAGAAGATATCACAAAGGTATACTATGAAGGAACTACCAATTTCACACGTTATACAAGCGTTCTGGACACTTCTGAAGACCTTTTTTCTCACACAAAGGGGGGCAACCGGGATTCACTTTTTCTTCTCTCAAAATCATACCATCATCATTAGAAAATGGCTAGGGTTATAGCCAAATATATACTCTAGGGTTAGACTTTAAGTTGAGCCATTAAATGGGTAAATGGGTCAAGATTCAAGTCATCCATAAGGAAATACAATTGGGCCGGGTGTAGCTCATGGACTTGGTTGTTGGACTTATTTCATTCATCGGCCTATGCCTATGAAATAATATTAACCCATATTAATATCATAACTTAAGATTTATTGAGTATCAAAAACCCAACAAAGATTTTAATATTATGAAGATGTTTCCACGAGGAAGGCATTGTCTGATATCTCTATAGGTTCCTCAAAGGATAGATTGAGTAATAAATCTAGTCATTGCTGACTCAAAAGGTTTTCTAATTGCATTCCAAGATTGAGTTTACGAGTCTTTCCTAGCCTTAATAGATTTGTGGCCACAATGATGCAAAGTAGTATCCTTGTACCATAAATTGGCGACAGACAGGCACCCATCGATTGCTATGTTGAAATAAAATGTCTTCTACATTCTCGAGGTAAGCATTTAAAAAAAATTGTGATTAATATAGTTGTAATGTTGAATACGAAATTTCACTTGTCATTCTAAATATTTTTTAAATATTATTTGACTAACAGATCGAAGTAAATGACATTGATCCACTAGACTGAAAGATGATGATGCCATGTATGACTATTGGTCTATATGTCACATCTTACATGTGATGTGCATTTCCAAGAGGGAAGAGTGCAAGTCCCATTACTCACGTTAACAAGTGAAAAAATTGATAATATCTCTAAGAAATCCACTACACTAGTACTACTGATCACTGATGGAAGAATCGGGCATTCTAACGTCGTGTATGATTATAATGACACTTTGTTGATCCGTCAAGGACGTCAGAAGCCATCCACTACTATCCATTCTCTAGTGAAATCACAATCAACACATTCAATTAGGTGTCATGTGATGACGTATGTATTTAATTTAATGTTTTTGGTTCTAATATGTCATAATCATTCTATTTAAATTAATACTAATACAGTAAGTACTTTGGCAGATATGTGACGAATTTACAAAATAGTTGAAGGGGACAAATATATGACTTTCAACACTTAATTTTTATCATTCACACTTTGTCAACACTTAATTATTATCGTTCTCCCTAGTTAACATCATTCATCATCAAATCTTGCATTATTTGATGAGTGGTTTTTTCAACTAAATTTTTATGCATTTGTGTTTTTCCTCTTCATTCTTCTTTAGGTAGATATCTTCAAGGTAAACACAAGCTAGAAAATTGGGTTGTGGTGAAGTGATTTTATTTTCTTTTTTAGTATATATATGTTTGGCTTAGTTTAAATACTATAAAGGAATCTAATCATTAACAACTCTTGATCCTTTTTTATATTGTTGTGGAAAGTCAATAATTAGCTAGTTATTAAAAGGAATTCGCCTTATTTGTAGAAAGAAGCAAGCCCGATCACGATCTTAATGTACCACCATAGTTCATAAATTTAATTGAGGAAAGGATACAAAAAAAAATTTCTATTTGACAAATTAATTTATAAATGGTCAAACTTAAATTTGAATCACTCATTTGATTCAAAAGTACTATCCACTTATTCATAACTAATATCTATCTATTTATAAATTAAGCTATTTATAAATTCTTTCTATATTGAGGATAAGCAATGTAGTTATACTTATTTCAACTTTAGCACAAAACGGACACATACCTTTAAGGTCGGAGTAAAGAAAATTTGCAATATTAGTCCCCAATATATAGACTTGGTAGCAAATGGGTCCCATTCTACTTTTTGGCACTTAATTTTTGTTGCATAGTAGTCCATGATTAATGGAAAGCTTTCAAAATGCCATGAAATACTTGAGTCTCACATATTCAATTTCTTATAGGGTTTGCCATCACATTAAGCCCTTGTTTGACAACCGTTAAAATGATTTTTTTGAGGAAAATGAATTTTAAGATACTGATTTTTTTTAGAGAATCTATGGTTAAGAAGTAAGAGGAAGTTTTGGGTTTAGGTACAAAATTTTTTACTATGAGAATGTGTGATTAAAAATGAGTTTGAAAAAAGTAGGATTTTGTTTTCATGGTTGTCAAACATAGGCCGAACTACCAACAATAATGGTTTACTATTGTCCCTTTAAATCCCTTCTCTATCCTAAATATTGTAGTCTACCTTCCACATTGGTGGGGGCAGAAAAATAAAACAAGCCTTAGCTCACATTTCAATACTAAAAACGGATAAAGAAAGCAGAAGTGCTTATTAGATAATGTCAATTTTCTCAATTGAATGTTGGGACAGATTGTTCTAGGGTAGACTGCAGTAGTGTTTTCGGTGTTTTTTTGATGAAGTTGTTCCATTAGAATTACATCTAGATGAGGCGAGGTGAATTGTGGTGGTCGACAATAATGGGTATCTCCAAAAAATGGAAAATGCTGGTTTAGGAGTCTTAGCTCAACGTGCTAGAGACAATGCAATTGTTTGTATTTATACAGGTTCCATGTGCTGTAGAGAAATTACAATCTTTATCTATTTTTGGTATTTCCTAACAGACACAAATTCCATTCTATATCAGGTATGTAAAAGACTGGTGAATTCCTTGATTCTCAAAATTGCTGGCTTGATTGGCTTTCTAGAAAGAATTTGATTGCTTGTAATGGACTGGGATTCCTTTTGTATGTAATCTAACTGGATTTCTTCCTTTTCTTCCTTGTCTTTCCAAGTTCTGCTAATACCTTCCCTCAAGTTGTGATGGGACCGGAGACACAACTTGCTATGAAGAGAGTGTAAACTAGGTTTGGGAAGAGCTTTTGTAAAGATATCAGCAAGCTGATTCACAAATGAAACATGGCGTGTAACAAGTTGACAAGTAGCAACTCTTTCTTGAACAAAATGATAATCAAGTTCAATATGCTTGCTTCTAGCATGAAACATAGGATTAACGGTTATGTGTAGTGAACTCAAATTATCACAGAAAAGAAATGGTGGAGATTGAAGAGAAACTTGGAGATCACGAAGGAGGAAAGTGAGCCAAGTAAGTTCAGTTGTGGTATGAGCCATAGATCGATATTCAGCTTTAGTAATGGAACGAGACACCGTGCTCTATTTTTTTGCACGCCAAGAAAGAAGATTTTGACCAAGAAAAGTGCAGTATCCAGTGGTAGAACGTCTAGTTGTGGGACATCTGGCCCAATCTGCATCAGAAAAAGCAAAGAGATCAAGAATAGACCGTGAGAAGAATTGTAGTCCAAAAGAAAGTGTCCCTTTAACATAGCGCAAGATGCATCGGACCATTTTTAAGTGTGAATTGCAAGGAGCTTGCATAAATTGAGAGGCGAGGTTAACGCTAAATGCAAGATCAGGTCGTGTGAGTGTTAAATATTGAAGTGCCCTTACAATACTACTGTAAAAACTAGGATCAGCAAGAGGAGTATCATCAGTGGTATTATTGAATTTTGTTTCTAGAGGAGTGCTCATTGGTTTGCTATCAATAATATAAGTCCTATCTAGAAGTGTAAGAGCGTATAGGGTTTGAGACACATGTAGGCCATCAGAGTTAGGTGAAATTTTCATCCCAAGAAAGTGATGAATGCTGCCTAGTTCCTTTATAGCAAATTCGCGATGGAGGTTTAGAAATGATGGACTTGAACCTGTAAGCAACATATCATCAACGTAAAGTAACAAAACTAGTATACCATGAGGGGAATGATAAATGAATAAAGAGGGATCCGCTAAGCTGCAAAAGAATCCAAATTGTAATAGGAAAGAGTTAAAACAATCAAACCATGCTCTCGGTGCTTGCTCGAGTTCTTACAAGGCTTTCTTAAGTTTACAAACATACGTGGGATGAGCAGGATCAGCCAGACCAGGGGTTTGAGTCATATAAATGTCCTCGGTGATATAGCTATGTAGAAACGCATTTTTTACATCTAATTGTCGAATTTCCCAACGGTAAACAAGAGCAAGACTTATGACCAAACGAATAGCCCCGGCTTAATAACTGGAGAGAATGTTTCAATGTAATCAACTCCATCCACTTGATGAAATCCTATAGCCACAAGTTGAGCTTTAAGACGGTCAAGTGACCCATCGGACTTTTGCTTTGTCTTAAATACCCACATCGATCCTATGACATTCATATCTGGAGTTCGTGGGACAAGTTTCCAAGTGTGGTTATGATGTAAAGTTTCAAGTTCTTCAAGCATTGCTTTGCGCCATCCAGGATGCTGAAGTGCGACTTTAAAATTTTGAGGTTCTTGTGGTATCACACCCCGTGACACATGAAGAGAGTATTTGGGATTCGGCTTAGTTATCCCATCTTTAAGTCTTGTTACCATATGATGTTCAATGGGAGCATCTGTTAATTGCTGTGAACGACCAGGGACATTTGATCTTTCAGCATCACAACCTGATGAACATTCAGGGAGAGAATGCACTTCAGTTACCACAATGGAGTCTTGTTCAATTGATGAATCTGGAGAGGACACATGCAAGCCTTGTTGTGGACTGTCTGAGCACTCTATGTTGCCATTTGCATATGAAATGATTCTTACATGGTCATGATTAATATCAGCAGTCTCAAGTTCCTCATGGGCGTCAGCTTCAGTATCTGATGGAGTGATGAAATATCTTAATTGATCACTAGTTCCAGGTGTTATTGAGTCCTAAAAAGACAAAGACATTTTATCACTATTAGTTGTATCAATCCAGTCATTAAATTCAATAATATTAGCATGGTCAGTAGGAATTGGTTTTCCAATAGATTTATAAGGAAATGAATCCTGCGAGAATGCAACATGGCGAGAGATGAGGAATCACTGACTAGGAGGATGATAACATCGATATCCTTTATAGTTGTCACTGTAACCTACAAAGATACAAGGAAGTGTTTTAGGGCCAAACTTATTTCTTTTAGAGTCCCAAGTATATAGATAGCAACGTGAGGCAAAAACTCGTAAACAAGAATAATCAGGTTGTCTATAATGCACTTTATGGTAAGGAGTATCAAGCTCAACGGCTGAAGAAGACATCCTATTAATTAGAAATACTGCAGTTTGAAAGGCCTCTACTCAAAATTGCTTAAGGAGTCCACTGTGAAATAGGATAGTCATGCCAAGTTCATGTATGATGCGATGACGACATTCAACGGATCCAGTTTGCTGTGGTGTATAAGGGCAGGAAAGTTGATGTATTATTCCTTCGTTCTTGAAGTGTCCAGTTAATGTGGAATTTACAAACTCATCTCCTCCATCCGAATGGAAAATTTTAATTTTCTTGTCAAATTGCCTATCCACATACCGTTCAAAGGCAAAATATGTACAGGTGAAGTCGGATTTGAGATCCAAAGGAATAAACCAGTAGTATTTGGAATAATCATCAACAATGCAAGCATAATATTGAAAATTCCCAATAGATGAAATAGGTACAGGACCCCAAAAATCACAATGGATTTTTTCAAAAAATTCAGAACTAACACATTCAGAATTAGAAAATGGAAATTTGCTCAATTTTCCTAGTTGACAACTCTCACATAGAGTAGTCCTTTTATTTGTACTGATGTTTTTAATTAAACCCTTAGCTTTTAGAAAGCTAACAGTTGACATGTGTGGATGCCCAAGCATTTGATGCCACATCTCCTCTGTGGTATTATTGAATCTATTTGAGAAATGAGCTTCATGATGAGGTAACAAAACGTACAAGTCACCCTTGCGATGCCCCATCATTAGTATTCGTCCTGTCTCTCTCTCCTTAACATAGAAATTTGTATTAGAGAATTCACAATTAAAAGGAAATTGATACGTAAGTTGACTAACTGAAAGTAAATTAAGAGCCAAAGAAGGAACTAACAGAACATCGCGCAACATTAATTTTTCTTTACCATTTTTGACTAGTGTGTCAACAACGGCTTTAATGGAAAGAGCGTGCCCATTACCAATGAGAATTGAATCAGTTCCCAGATATGAGCGTAAATTGAACAAAAGTTTGGAGTTACTTGTAATGTGATTTGAGGCCCCTGTATCAGTTGTCCATTCCGTATCTTGTACTAATGTATCAAGTGTCAAGGCAACAAGAGCATGAGGAATTTCTTTGGCACAAAATTGTTTATCTTTGTACCAACAGATTGATGCAATATGTCCGAGTTTCTCACAAATCTGACATTTTTTATAGCGGTACCGTTCACGCTCTACAGGGGTCATTCGATGAAAATGAATCCCTTCCACATGAATAGCTCCAGTTCTAGATCTTTGTTTTTCATTTCGACTTCCCGAAGTATTTGTATTTGTGGCTTGGAACCCCCGGCCTTGGGAGCTGAAGCATGACCAGAGGAACGATTGCTATTGCCTAGCTGAGTAGAACGGTTGTTATTACCTTGTAGATTCCTTTGTCGTTGACCATAGAATGCAAGATGTTGAGGTTCATGCCATTGAACATGTTGTTCATAGCCTTGAAGCAGTGAAACCACCTCTGAGTAACATGGCATGGGCGGTTTCAACATTGTGGCGGTGAAGGTCACATAGCTTGGACCTAGACTTGTGAGGAGAGAGTAGACCTTCTCTCAGTCTTGTACTGGACGTCCAATTGCTGCAAGACTATCGTACAGCCTCTTAAATTGACGAAGATGCTCAGTTAAGGGAGTTGTAGCATCTTTCTTGAGATAAGTAAGTTGTTGGCGTAGAGTGAATTCTCTATCTTGTGAAACTTGGGCATAGGCTTCTTGAAGTCCTTCCCAAACTTGTTTGGCAGTTTGAAGACCGACGACCAGACCAAGAGCTTCCTCTGTCAAGGAGCCAATGATCTACCCTCAAAGATGACGATCTGATTTTCTCCATTTAAGGTAGTCTTCACTGAATGTTGGTTTGTTCGTTTTTGCATTTTCTGGAGTGTAAGTGGCTGGGATGTCTAATTCTCCATTGAGATGATCAAACAAATCTCGGCTTTCAGCTAGTGAGATGACTTGCTCACGCCACAATGGGTAATTTTCTGGGTTAAGTTTGATGTTGACAAAGTTGCTGACATTTAGTGAGATACTGGCCATGGTTATAGTGGATGAATTGTGATAAGCTCTGATACCAAAAAGAAAATGCTGGTTTAGGAGTCTCAGCTCAACGTGCTGGAGACAATGCAATTGTTTGTATTATACTGGTTCCATGTGCTGTAGAGAAATTACAATCTTTATCTATTTTTGGTATTTCCTAATAGACACAAATTCCATTCTATATTAGGTATGTAAAAGACTGGTGAATTCCTTGATTCTTGAAATTGCTGGCTTGATTGGCTTTCCAGAAAGAATTTGATTGCTTGTAATGGATTGGGATTCCTTTTGTGTGTAATCTGATTGGATTTCTTCCTTGTCTTTCCAAGTTTTGCTAATACAAAAGTGGTGTTCTTGGTTTGTGAGGGGGTCAAAATTGAGGCTTTTTTTACAATTCTTCCTTCGAAATGGTTGTTTGGCTTGGTGATTCGTAGGAGTATTGGGTATGTGATATCGTCAGTGTGGGGGTATTTTTATATGGCTTTGAAGGTGACAAGGTAGTGGTTAAAGAGGTGAAATGCAACGGCTCCATTTGGACTTTTCCCTTTTTTTTGACTATTCATATTTTTGGACTGATTGTTCTTGGTTTAACAAGGAATTGATGTTCGCGGTGGTGATTATTGTGGTCAATGGCGATGGGTGTGATGGTGGCAGATTTCTGATTTCGAATTGAGGGTTTAGGGTGGAGGTTTGGGAGCGGGGTGGGTGAAAAGAAAATATTTTTTTCTTTTTTATTTTATTCTTTCTTCTTTTATTTTTATTTTTTGTTTTTGGTTTAAGTTTTTTAATTATTTTATTGGAAAAAATATTAAGTTACCAACCTATCCTATTTTGTTAGAAACCTAAAATTTATTTTGGTAATCAACTAACAAAATTGAGGATAGAAATCGTCCAAAAGAACTTCACATGCAACAATTGGACATATTAGGGACGACGGTTGCAATAAATGAAAGCTCGGGGAAAGTCTACCAATATTTCAAAAGTTTGACGCTTTTGCTGCAATTATTCCTTTTATTTATTAACAAGAAACTCTTATACAATTAACTTACTCTGACACACCCCGTCCCGTGTAACACTACTGGATTCGAACGTGGCATGCGCTGATGATAGATACCAACAAAAAGTCGGACCCATAATCAAGGCTACTTCAAGTACAATTTATCACTTTTTATACATCATTTTTCTAACAGAATTTCGGCATTATCTCCCTTATAAATAGGACCAATCAACCTATGATCAATTTCACATAAATCCCAAACTATAACATAACACAATAAAGATAAGTCAAAACCTCAATTTTTACCAAGAAATAAAATGAAATGTACATATGGATACAAAATACATAGTGAGCCCCATAACTATCTACAAGTGATGCAAAATCACATCTAAACATGAACATGCGTCCCAAAACACTGATTACATGTTCTATGAAATGAGTCATACTAACAAACTCTGTCGTGTGGCTCTGACTCTAAAATCAAGGCTCAACTCTAAAAAATGCCCAGATACTCAACCGCTGCCTGATAAGGGAAAACGTGAAAAAATATACGAGTTAATAGTTCAGTGAGTAGAGAAGTTCAAAATAAATATACTTTTTCATTTATACATTTTTATTGAAAATCAAATTCACATCATTTGATAATTCACAAGTTATCATCATGTAATTATAGCCAAAAAGTGAAATATTTACGTAAGGTCATAAAATATCATCTTAAAATCGTGATATGAACATAAGATGGTAATTATGCTATAATCTCATCACATCAAATGTACTGAAAAATCAACAACAAATGTACCTCTCTGATTAAAATCTGTAATCCGCCCCTCGGGTTAAGAATTTTTGCCACGAGCCTTTGGCCCCTCCGTGAACGAAAGCCGATCTCGAAGACCTATGGTAATCAATTTTAGAATACGGCCAATGCCCCTCAGTGAACTATATGTATATGGTCGAGACCCCTTCATCCCCGGTTCGAGACCTATTCGGTTCGAGACCCTTCAGTGTAGTATAGAACATGACCAATGCCACTCAGTGAACTAGAAGAAATAAATAATCATGAGTACTTTTCTGGTCAATCTCAAAATCACATCTCATATTCCAATTCACAATGTACCTATTTAATATTTGAAATCCCACATATATCACAATAAAAGATATTTCCATAGTAACCATGTAATTTGAACACGTAATTGCATATAATTGCACATACTTTAACAATATACTTAATTTATAAATACTTTAAAAATATTTATATTTTTCCACTCACAGAACTATGTACGCCAAAATCAACTCGGTCTGTAAATTGTCTCGATATCCCTATTGTCGCTTGAAATATAATATAATTTTTAAATCAACAATTAACTATTTTAAGTAATTTCAATAATTAAATAGGCGATACCAAAACTTAATTATTTCACGTTTAGACGATTTTTTAAATCTCTTTAATTATTAAAACTAATTTTTTTTTCATTTTACTCAATTTCATAGTTTATTATACTTAACCCCTTCAAAAAATAAAATTTAATCTAACAACTATAAAATCAAATATAACCTTTCAATAAGTAACTTTTTACTTACCTTTCAAAATTGAGGAATTCAAGCCTAATAGTATAGAACACTTAATTCCTAACATATTGGCAAATTTTTTTTTCTATTTTTTTCTTTCTTCTCTTCCCCCCCTTTTTTTTTCCTTTTCTCTCTTCTTCTTTCTCTTTGGTTTGTTTTCTTCGTGTGTGTGTGTGTGTTTGTTTTTAAATTGGTTTTGGGTTGTGTATATATATGTATATTCAATTGGAATAGATTTGTTTTGGGCATCCACTGCCTGTCGTTTTCTTTTACTTTTTTTTTGGTTTGACTTTTTTTTTTATCAAAGTATTACATACTCACTCCCTTAAAAGAATTTCGTCCTCGAAATTCAATTGACTAAGTGCGAAAAATCTAAGGATACTGAAAACGCATCTGCTCTTCACTTTCCCATGTCGCTTCTTTTATAGCATGATTCCTCTACAAGACTTTAACCAAATGAATGGTCTTAGTATGCAAGACATGTTCCTTCCTGTCCAATATCTGAACTGGTTCTTCTTCATATGTAAGATTTTCCTTCAGCTCTACTGGTTGTAATTCCCAAATATGAGATGGATCTGGAATATATTTACGAAGCATGGAAACACATCATGAATTCTGGACAAATCCATTGGCAAAGCCAATCGATAAGCAACTGGACTAATGCTTTCAACAATCTCATATAGGCCAATATACCTTGGACTCAATTTACCTCATTTACCAAATCTGATAACACCTTTCCATGGAGACAATCACAGGAAAACTCTATCCCCAACATCAAATTCAAGGTTTCTTCTACGTCTATTTGCATAGTTCTTCTGTCTATCTTGGGCTGTCTTTAACTTTTCTTTAATTATCTTTACTTTCTAAGCAGTAATCTGGACATATTCAGGACTCAATAACTTTCTTGCGCCAACTTCATCCCAACATATCGGAGTTCTGCATTTCCTACCATACAGTGCTTCAAAGGAGCCATTTCTATACTCGAATGATAACTGTTATTATAAGCAAACTTCATCAAAGAAAGATGAGTATCCCAATTCCCTTTAAACTGTAGTACACAAGCTCGTAACATGTCTTCCAAAGTCTAAATAGTTCTTTCTGACTGACCATCTGTCTGTGGATGAAAAGCTGTATTGAAATGAAGTTTAATACTCATAGCTTTCTGCAAATTGGGCTAAAATTTAAAAGTGAAACGAGAATCTCTATCTGAAACAATAGATACTGGTGCCCCATACAAACTGATTATCCCATCAACATATCTTTTTGCGAATTTGTCAAACGAGCAAGTAACTTTAATAGGCAAAAATCTAGCAGTCTTCGTCAATCTATCTACAATGATTCATATGCCATCATGTCCACTCTGAGTTCGTGGAAGTCCAAATAGAAAATTCATGGTAATGTGTTCCCATTTCCACTCAGGAATAGGCAACATTTGTAACAATTCTGCTATTTTCTGACGATCTGGTTTCACTTGCTGGCAAATGAGACATCTGGATACAAACTCAGCTATTTCTCTCTTCGTTCCATGCTACCAATAGTGTTCTTTGAGTACACAATACATTTTTGTACTACCTGGATGCATCGCGTAAGCTGAACTATGTGCCTCTTCTAGAATTTCTTCCTTCAATTTCGAATCATCTGGAACACATAATCTGTTTCCCATAACTAAAGCTTTGTCATCTCGGATGATATAATCTGTATGCTTACCTTTACTAATCTCTTCTTTCAATTTGCTCAACACTAGATCTTGATTTTGAGTTTCTCTGACTGTGTCAATCAAAGTAGGCTTCACTTGGAAGTTGGCAAACAATGCTCCTACACTAGTAATTGATAATTGGGCATGAGAAGCTCTGAACTCACCAAACAAGGATGAACATACTACATTAGTTTGGTTCATAGGACTCAATATTTTCCGACTGAGTGCATCAGTAACTACATTAGCCTTCCCTGGATGATAATTAATCTTGCAGTCATAATCTTTTATCAACTCTAACCATCTTCTTTGCCTCAAGTTTAACTATTTCTTATAAAAAATGTACTTTAAGCTTTTATGATCTGTATATTTGACATCTCTCGCCATACAAGTAATGTCTCCAAATTTTCAAAGTTCGGACAACTGCAGCTAGTTCTAAGTCATAAATAGGATAACTCAATTCATGTTTCTTCAACTGTCTGGAATCATACGCTATAACTTTCTCATTCTGCATCAAAACACAACCAAGACCTTGACGTGAAGCATCACTATATATCACAAACTCTTTACCGAGAGATGGAAGGGTATGAACCGGAGCTGACACTAATCGATTCTTCAATTCGAGAAAATTTCTTTCGCAAGCTTCAGTCCAAACAAATTTAGCATTTTTTCTAGTCAATAGTCAAAGGCAGAGCAATCTTAGAAAATCCCTCTACAAAACGATGATAATAACATGCTAAGCCAAGAAAACTTCGTATTTCTGTCACATTAGTAGGCCTTTCCCATTTTATCACTGTCCCAGTTTTCTATGGGTTAACATAAATTCCCTCTGCTGATATGACATGTCCCAAAAATACAACTCTATTAAGCCAGAATTCACATTTACTGAATTTAGCATACAATTGCTTATCACATAGAGTCTGCAAGATGATTCTGAGATGCTCTGTGTGCTCATCATGATCTCGAGAGTATACATTGATAAATACAATCACAAACCTGTCTAAATACGGGTGAAATACTCTATTCATCATACCCATAAATGCTGCTGGTGCGTTGGTCAACCAAACTGGCATCACAAGAAATTCAAAAATGACCATACCTTGTCCTGAAAACAGTTTCTAGCACATCACTATCCCTGCTTTTAAGTTGATGATATCCAGAACTCTAATCAATCTGAGAAAATACTGCAGCACTTCGAAACTGATCAAATAGGTTATCAATACGTGGCAAAGGATATTTATTGCGAAGTTTCACTTTGTTCAAGTGTCTATAATCCATGCATAGTTGCACGATGCCATCTTTCTTCTTCACAAATAAAACTGGTGCTCCCCACGGAGATACACTAGGTCTGATGAAACCCTTGTCTACCAACTCTTACAACTGAATCTTTAGCTCTTTCAATTCTGCTGGTGCCATTCTATATGGTGCCCGTGAAATAGGTACAGTTCCTAGACTTAGATCTATAGTGAACGTCATATCTCTGTCTGATGGTAAGCCTGGTAATTCTTCTGAAAATACATCAGGAAAGTCCTTGACCACTGGGATGTCTTCAAGTTTTAGTTTGCTAACATCTGTATCAATCACATGAGCCAAATATGCATGGCTGCCCTTGTTGAGTAATCTTCTAGCGTTAATAGCAGATATCACATAAGACGGTAAAATTCTGTGCTGTCCATTGAATATAATTTCAGGCTATCCTGGCTATCTAAACACAACCTCCTTTCAAAAGCAATCAACAGAAGCTCGATTTGTTGCCAAAACGTCAATACCCAAGATTACATCGAAATCATGTATGTCAAAAGGTATTAAATTTGTCTTCAGCTCGTTCTCCTTTACCTTAATCCCACAATCAAGATATATATTGTTTGCTAATAGTGATTCTCCTACTAGTGTATTCAGTACAAACAACTTCCTAGAGGTTCTGACTTTTGATTTGTATATAAAGCAAATGCAAATGACATAAAATAATGTATAGATCTAGGATCAATCAAAATACGAGCATTTCTATCAAAAATAGACAACATACCCATAATAACATCTGGTGATTCCTTTGCCGCCTACTGAGTTATAGCAAAAACTTTACCTTGGGTTTTCGGCCGTCCTACCTACCCTTTTGATTTTGTACCATTACTGCTTGCAATATTAGACTGGGCTACACTATTTGCACATGTTCTATTAACTGAATCATCTTTCTAAGTCCGATTCTGTCTTGTACTACCAGCATTCTGCTAAGGAAACATCTTATGTACTATGCCACTCTCCTGTGATAGGATTGGACAATTTTTTCTAATGTGTCCGCCTTGACCACAATGATAACAGACTCCACTCCCTTTGAACTTTAGACACGTGCCGGGATGAGGTCTTTCACACAATTGACAATAGGGAAGTCTAGTACTAGTAAAACTCTCACCTTGTCTCGGAGTAAATAATATCTGGGAAGAACCCTGAGTATAAGTACGACTGGCCAATGGCTACTGTACAATGCTGGGACTAAATCTAGGGCCCTGACTTCCCTGTGATTGAGATAAGCCGAACTGGACACACCGGGTCGAAATCCTCTACTGTCCCTCTGAGGTAGTCTATAGTTAGAAGCACTCGTCATTGTCTGGCTACTGCTTGCTCTGAACATTGTTTGTTCTCTACCACTGGCCTATCAGAAATGCTCTTTTCTACTCTCAAAGCCGATTCCACTAATTTACCAAATTCATTCCAGCCTGCAGCTCTTACTACTGACTGAATCTCTTCCCTTAGCCCATTTTCAAATCATTTGCATTTATCAATTTCATTGTTTACTAGAACTTGGGCATACTTTGAAAGTTCAATAAATTTCACCTGATATTCTGTAACTGTCATCTGCCCTAGTACTAGTTTCAAAAATTTTTCTTGCTTTGCATCTTTATAGAATTGAGGGTAATAGGCATCATAAAAGACACGTCTGAATTCTGTCCATGTGATGATGGAAAGGTCTCGATACGTGCTTTGTACTGACTGCCACCAATCATATGCACCCTCCTCTAATAAGAAAGTGGCAAGACATAACTTCCGATCATCTGAGCAACCTATAACATCAAATACCACCTCTATCTTTGTCATCCATGCCTGCGCAACTGCAGGGTTGTCTGTGCCAGTGAACACTTTAGCCCCTAACTTTGTAACCCTCTCAATACTGAAATCTCTGTTAGTTTTATACATAGAATATGTAATGGCAATAGCAATTTTTTCAACAGCAATAGGATCAGTTCCAATCACATTTCCATGTCCCCGTTGTTCAGGAGGCTGGTGAACTGATTCTTCTACCCTCTCGAACTCTCTAGGTTCAATTCTTTCAGGAGCAATGCGAGACTGGGGCAACATATCTTGGAGTCTTCGAGTTTTGCCACCACGAGGTATGACTCACCTACAGTTATGCATGATATGCTAAACATCAGAATGTATGTATGTACAATGCAAACATATGGACTTTAATGCATGCTCTGATACCAAACTGACACACCCCGCCCCGTGTAACACTATTGAATCCGAACGTGGTATACGCCGATGATTGCATTATCTCCCCTATAAACAGGATTAACCAACCTGTGATCAATTTCACTTAAATCCCAAACTATAATACAACACAATAAAGATAAGCCGAAACCTCAACTTTTACCGAGAAATAAAATGAGATGTACATATGGATACAAAATAAATAATGAGCCCCATAACTATCTATAAGTGATACAAGTTCTTCTTTTATTATTATTATTATTATTATTATTATTATTATTATTATTATTATTATTATTATTATTATTATATATATATATATATATATATATATATATATCCATTTAATTGACAAGTTACATGAAAAACAAAGTCAAACGAACACCAAAAGATCTAGAATTTTAACATTTTCGGGTGAAAATTATATCAATCAAACACATTTAATTGAAAATTCCTGATAAAACAAGTTCTAGGCAATTCAATTCCCTGAAATTCATTTTCTTTCCACCCAAATTCCATTATTGCAATTAAACGGATTCTAATATTTTTTTTCAAGCATTTTATTTTTATTTTTCAAGCATCCTATTAAACCATTCTATTGTACATTGAATGCTTTTTATTTTTACTTTTTAACAATTTTTTTGCAATTTTGATTGTGCTAGCGCGGATCTAAGATCGAAATATAAGCTGGACTAATACATAACAAACTGGGCTAACATATAAAAAAATTAAATTTAAACATAATTTTTTTTTACTTAAAAATAAATTTTTTTTTTGCCCTACAAACTATTAAGTGGGCTGGGGAGAGGCTAGCCCAACCCAATCCACCTATTTCCGCCCTTGAATTGTGCCCCACTAAATCAAAGTTTTTGCATCAACCATTGCCTTCGATCCCATTTGACTTAATCAAAAAACATTATTGTCATAAGCAATGATCAATCGATGTTTTAGAAACCACAGGGCATTTCTTAGTGAGTTCATTGCGGGACGCATTCTTTTATCGGAGGTGGTGTAGAGGAGATAGAAGATGATGATCGTAGTTGTTTGAGTTTTGACTAATTTGACAGTGTTTCGATCCGGTAAACAAATGCTTGATTTGCTTGCTGTGAACTTAAATTGCCCAACAATTCAAGCAGTTCCTCTACAACGGTGGGCCCGAAGGTTCTGTTGAAATTTGAAAATTCTGCAGGGTGACTGTTGGTTATAGAGGGAAGGAGGAAATATGAATCATGGAATGAGGACCCATTTGCTACTAAGTCAATAGGTTGGTGAGTTATGATGCAATATTTGTTTTAAGTTATTAATAATTTGGCTCCAAATAAACCTGGGAAATTTGAAAAATTATTTCATGGCGCCATTTCCCAGTCTTATCAAATACCAAAGCAAGGTGCGGGAAGAATAGAGAGACAGAGAGATGTCAAAACATTCACAACGAGATTCTCAGGTCCAAAATTTTACACACTGTTTCGATGCTCACTTTCTTTTAATTGATTTCAAATTCCGTTAGAAGCTAAATCTTCTATTTGTTTGCAGGTTTTAGATTCTTCGCTTCCTTCTGGTTCGTGCAATATTTCTTATTCTGAGGAGCTCGTTATATTCAATCATTTTCAGAAAAAAAGATCAATTTGATTTAGATTTTTCTTCAACCTATTGTTTTAACTTCATTTTTCTGTTAACAGAGCCACCTGATATTGGAAACTGGTTCTCAAGTTATGTTTACGAGTCACCAGAATTGAATAATCGTGATGATTTTGAAGATTATGAAGTTCAGGGATCCAGAATAAATTATACTGCAAATGGAAAGACAGGTAAATTGACTGACAATGTGATGGTGGGAAAATGTATTAATTCTGGAGATAAGGGATCTTCTTATGGCTTCACTAAATGTGATGGATCAGAAGATTCTGAATCAGAGGTAATTTGATCTTAACTTCATATGGGCTGCATTAAATTATGAAAACTGTGGGATTTTCGGCTTGCGAAGCATAATAGAATTCAAGCTTTGAGGGGGGAAAAAAGAAAAAAATACATATAACCTCTTACCCAATTAGTCAAATAGTGATTTTTATTAATTTTTCAGTTTAAATTCAAGAATCACTCGTCTAGACACATAGATGATTTTTGACAAATTTGCTTACTAGTATTATTAGAAGCTAAATCTCATCTTTTATTATAATTTTCTTCCTCTTTTTATTTGAAGGTTTTACATTCTCTAGGCCCGGCTTCCCTTCCTTCTGGTTCGTACAATTTCTGATCTGAGCTCTTTATATTCCATGTATTCATTCTAATGCAGTTTACGGTTAATTTTTCTTTATTTCCCTCTTCATAGAGCCGCCTGGTATTCAAAATTGGTACTCCAGTTATGTATATGAATCTCTGGAATTGAATACTTTGGATGTTTTCAAAGACTGTGACGGACTCAAAGTAGATGATTCTGCAAATAAAAAAGACAACAACTTGGGTGAAAATGGAACGGATGGTAAACGTAATCCTACTTTTATTGCCGGAGAGAAGGGATCTTCATATGCTTTTGCTAAGAGAAATGACCCCATCGGATTTGCTGATTTTAAGTCTGCGGCAGAGGTAATTGAAATGACTTCTTTTCC